TATATATATATGTATTTATTTATTCATTTATTCATTCATTCATTCATTCATTCATATTTATTTATGTTTTTGTTTATCCAGATTTATATATTAGTTATATGTAAAGATCACACGTCAAGATCATTACATTTTTTTTCGTTTTAATGTAGCATGCTAGATATATTAATTTTAATTACAAATTTTTATTATCTCATGGAAAAAGACCAGTGAGTTATTGGTTACAAGAGTAGCACATTTAGCACAGTTGCTGTTGGTTATGTTAGTAGTGATTAGATAACTACACATAGAAAGAAAACATTCAAGAGCTGGTTGCTGTTTTCAAACTACCATGTTACAAAAATTTAGTATTCCATAAAGTTTATCTTTCAATATTCATTCTCACTTATGACACCTTGGATACGAATTAGATATAAAGAGATATTTATCTACATAGAAAAAATGTATTATTAATTTTGTAAGCAATCATTTACCAAAGAATATCGTGTCATTCTTGTTCAGTTTGCATTATTTCGCTTCCCGTTTTTTGAAAATTTCCTTTAGAAATGTTAGACATTGAGTTATGGTTGTATCGTGGTTAAGGTATTTGTAGCACTACTGAATTTAAATGGGTAGAAGGTGGCGGGTAAGGCAGGGAGGGAGACGTTTAGTTGTTAAATAAATTCCCAAAAACTTTCTTCCAGATTGGTCTGCTGCAAAAATAGAAATCAAGGGATTCGTATTGTTCATTTAAGGGGAGTGCGGAAGTGATTATGGAGTTCATTCGTTGATTATGCATGTCGGGTAGACGATAGATTTGTTACGTGGTATCATTAAATTTGTTACGTGATATCGATTTGTTACGTGATATCATATTGATGTGAGCTTTTCCGTTTCTAGTATCCTTCTCTTATTTGATTCAAAAATCGAAATTATTTATGGTCAAGGTCTATTACACACTAAACTTTGAATTTCAATCATATTTCACAGCGATTTCTTTCCACAGTCATTTATTTCGATACTGATTTGATGTGTAAGCTTCCAGCCATTAATGCATTTGTGTTGTATCTTCTTCTGTGATTTATTGGCTTACAAGCAGGGAAAATACGGATTATTCATCACAGTCATTGATATCTTATTAAGTGTACTTATTATAAAGCGAAAAAGGCGAAGGTCAGTAAACTATTTGTCAAGTATTGATTGCCGTGTGAATCAATTAGCTATTAGTATATTATATTACCATATAGTTTCCAGTTGTGGTTCTGTGCATTTTTTTTTTCAAATAATGGGAAGGTAAATGTCTATTTATAGAAAAATTGGAGCATTTCGTTATATTAATACTGGAAAAGAAAATCAATATGATGAACTTAGTGTGTATGTTAAGAAATTTTCGTATTTCCCTTCGTTTTTTCCTCATTTTTTTTTCTTCAATCTTATAAATGAAACGATTACAATGCTTGTTGGGTAGTGACAGAGTAATATTATAGCTAAGGGATTATACTGAGCACAATATTCATTCTAACTTAGTGAGATTTTTGAGTATTCACCCACAACTTTCTTTGTTGTTCATTTATTTCTTTAATTCCAAAAAATAATATGTGAAACTGCCTTTTATATATTTGCTATAATCTTTATGTGATTCAGTGTTGCGGATATTGAAAAAATGGTGGATTAATAGGCATGGTATTACAGGGGTAAATGTACAATACGTTTGATCAAGGACATTCGCACGTTGCGCGAATGTGACGTCGAAACTCTGACTGATATTTTCTTTTCATTAGTTTCATTTGATCCAAATAACAGCAGACTGGCATCTGTGCAAGGTGAAATCCGCGTTGGCGGCTCTTATCAGGTTTGCTTTATTTTATTTCTTTGTGTTATTTCACTCCACTCTAGGCATGGATTGCATAAGGTAATAACCCAGAAATAAGCATGAAATTTGTACTAATGTATTTTTGGTAGTTTCAGAAATACAGTTTCACTTTTGTACTGATTGGCCTATTTAAATTACAACTGTATAGTCAGTATTTTGGAATTCAGTGTTATTTCAGCTATTCTCAGTGCATTGAGATCAAAAGATGTAAATTATGCAAGGGTCTTGCATTTTACAAACTTGTAACTATAATTTATATCATAAATAGCTCCTCCTCAAGTTTTCTAAAATTTACCACGTGTCTTGTTGAAAAGTGCAAAGATATGATCGATTTAATCTCTCAGCTGTCACTCAGTAGTGGTGCTATTGAATCAATTGTCTATGAAATTTTCTCTCTTGCGCTACGGAACTTTTAATTATGTGATGAAAAAGTCTTAATTTTTACGCTAAAATACTTTTTTATTGTAGTGTGAACTACATCTTCAAATGCCTAATCGTTTTGCATTTTTGGTTCAAGTTATTCATGTTATTGAGAAGAACTTCGTTTAGAAATTATCTCTCTTTTCAATTAGTCATATGTTTATGTTTTTACATAGAAAAATCTTGCTCTATAATTTCGAAGTCCAGTTTAGGCGAAGCTACCTGAGATGGAAAAAGGTTCTGCAGTAGATGAACCCGATCGCGATGAACTACTGTGGAGGCCAGGTTATATTAATGAGGAAAGCGAGCATGTGTATGTGTTTTATTTTGGTGTTAATCAAATATTTTAACAAGATTGTCTTATCTGTAGTGATAAATTTACCAATGGAATTAAGATATTCCTGCGCATTTTGTTAGTGGTGCTGGGGTATGATCTTTCATACATGTTTCAAGTTTACAATGAACACTAGTCATGAAAATTTGTGGAATCATTAATGTTTAACATTAATTTTTGTAACTCTTTCCTGTTTTTGCAAACGTATTTAGTTAATTATTAGTATTTATTAATTATTGTATCAATATATCTTTTTTGTTCAGTTATAAGAGAGCGACACGATCATTCCGAATGTTTGCAATGGTGCGGAATGAGCAAATTACCCAAATAGAGCGTGATTTTAGAACAGGCGACTTGTGCATGCATGATGCCGTAGTAACGGTCAGTAACGTTTTATATAGCGAAAATTGAACATACGAAATTTCCCGCATTGTCTATTATGTCTTATTATTGATACGAAAACTCAAACTTAATGCAATTTTCTTTTATGTATTGTGAAGATTAAACATAAGCAAATAAAATATTATGACATCAACTGCATAAAATGTGGTATTACTATGGCTGAATCATCTATTAGTATGAAAAGCAAGTTTTAGAAATATACCTTTTAGATATAATGAGAAATTTAATAGTTCTTTCATGATAGAAACATTGTGTTTCATGTTTTTTAAGTACTTCATTATACGAAGGTACTATCATTTTTGGCAATTCGAAACATAGTGAATGAATGTTTCGTTTGCAGTTGCACAAGTGTAAGTACAACGTGAATTATGCTATTGAAGCTATGAATAAAAACGACGAGCGTATGCTCAAGGTGACAAATTTTATGAGTGCTGATGACGCTAAAAAATTTGCTCGTGGAATCAAAACTTATGGAAAAAATTTTTTAAAAATCAAGAAAGAGTTACTACCACATCATCGAAGGGTATGTTATTATCTATTAACGACATTTGCACTCATGCCAGTTTGCATGAGATAATTCTTGCAATGTTGTTTTTGTTTTTGCTACCGTCAAAATATTGTGAACTAGGAATCCTTTAGAAGTTCAATTTGGCTTATTTCAGTTTGCAGAGATAAAATTATCACTTCAAATAACTTTTTAATAGCTTGTACAAAGCAGAGTGGCTGCTGGAAATTTTGACTTTACTTTCAATAAAAAGTGCTATGTCCTCTTCGTTCAGGATGATTTAGTGCAGTTTTATTACGGGTGGAAAAAGACTCGCGATGCCACAAGGCCCAAGCCTTTGACACGACAGCGAAATACAGCAGCTGCCTCACATCGAAAGCCAAAGAACAATCAGTTCAAGGTCACATATCCATTCATTCATTCGATTTCTCTGTTCTTAATTAATTTTCATTCCATATCCACGGCTTATCGCTTTTTAGCTTTTCATGTGAAACGTGCACATGCAAGTGCCAATTTATATGAATTCTCTAATATTTCGCAAACTACAGCGTATATTCTCTCTTTTTGTAGGCATCTCGTCCTGGAAGTACTGATTTAGCTGACTATGCATCAGCTAGCGAAGCTGAAATGGAAGAACTAGAAAATGATGGTCGTGCCGCAGCTTATGCTTGTCACCACTGTTACACTTCAAGTAGTGTTCCATATTAAATTTCCGTAACTCTTGACTTTACTCTGTACTCTACTTCTTTCTCATCTATTTTTTCGTAATATGTTTTACACTGTCCTAAATTTTCTTTTTTCCACTATATTTGCGGATACGGTCAGTTTATGTATTCAGAAAGTAAAGATTGGCATCATTCGGGAAAAGAGCGTCAATTGCTTTGTACTGAATGTCGCATATTCTACAAAAAATATGGGCAGTTACGTCCTGTTGATCGACCAAGCACAGTCCCACCATCTTTGTTCAAACCGAAAAGTCCTGAGGGCAACGATGATGAGGTTAATTTAAGTAATCATCTGCAGAAGGAATGTAATTTCAAAAGCAAAATATGTATTCCAAGTTCGATCTCACCGCTTAAAACTGATATTTGTCATGAATGATTTATATGAAATTGCCTAATGCCAAGGTAAATGTTAGGAACAAGGAGTAAGGACACGAGCAAATAAAAAGGAAAGACGCGGCACATCATTAGAGATGGACAAAAAAGTCATCATTTCACCATTAGATGGCGATACAAAGCAAAAAAATGGAAAAAGAAAACGAAATCATGCTCAGAATAATGACTGTGTTGGTTTAATTGTCTAATGTTACTTTATTTGCAAACATTAAGTAATAAAAGACAGGTGGCGCTTCATGTGTGATATTGCAGGTAAATAATGGGAATGCAAAAAAGCGCTGTACAAAAGGAGAGAAAGATGAAGATATCGCTGATGTACAGGAAGACGATGAACCAGGTGTAAGTTGCGAAGATCACATTTGCGAGGATTCTCCAAACACAAGAAAGGTCTTAGTTTTTATTATCATGGCAAATTAACTCTGTTACCCATGACGTTCAAAATGCTTTCTTATTTATCTAGTTTTGATCTCTTATGGTACAGTGATATACGTCACTTGAAATCTATTAGGTACTTTATTTTGAAGGGTGGAAATTTTCAGACAAATGAAGCAATACCGTCTCCAAGTTCAGGATCAGCTTCAATTTCATCATCATCGAAATTAAGTTGTACTGTAGAGGAAAGAGCGCATTGTCAAGAACAAATACAGTCCTGTGCTGAAATGTGCAGTGCAAGTATCAAGCTGCAGCCATCTCTTGTTGCTTCAACCAGTCAGTCAGTGAGTGAAAAGCCTCCTATTTCGAAAATTGTTAAACATGAAATGGAGGAAGCTGCGGAAATAGCTAGTGAATTGCCTAGTACGAGTTTTGCTAAACCAATCCTTCCCGTTCCTCCGGATGTAAGTCTTCGCTGTAATTTGGTTTGTTACTGATTTTATGAAAGAAATTTTGCTGCAATATCGTATTATTTTTCATCTCGATGATGTTGCATTATGTAAAATTAATATTGGATTAACCATAGGAAGACAGCTTTTCCGTTTATTTACCGTTCTTGTCGTAAAAGCTCATAGCAATTATTGAATCATTACTTTTATAGTTTTGTATTTCGGTTTCATCATGTAGACAACTTTTAAATAATGTACAAAAAGAAACTGATATGTTACAGGAAATGAAAACCGAAGAAGAAGATTTAGATGATGGTTATTGGACTGTAAGTGATGCAGTTGCTGAAACTACAAAAAATGCATTACTTATCAGAATTATTGACCGGCGATGTGGTCAGATGTGCGCCCGCACGGATTTAGCTTTCCGTATGAAACCTGGTTCAGAATGGGATAAAAAACGGGAAGCTAGAGCCGCACTCGAAAATCATTTGAGCAATACACAGAAAAAGGTTGTCGATCATTTTCTTTTTTTTGTTAATTTTGATTTGTATTTCAGGTGGTTGGACTTGTATTGCATTCACTAATTTAGAATAATACATTTTACTCAATTAATGTTTGCAATGCAGAATAAAAAAGGAAATTTTCTTAAACGGGTTTTACAATCATTTTTTGCGGCCTCATGAAATTATACATTTCAGATAAATGAAACCTTACCTAATCCGGTCACAGCATCTAAATTGCCATCCACTCAACTGCCGAACTTACCGGGTACTCCTAATATTGAGGCATTCATGGGAGGTCGGGTTCCCATGAACGGCACTGCACTATCTGGATTGCCGGGAATGTTTCCAAGTATTCCGGATCCGAGATTCGCTTTCCTTACTCCTCAGCAACAGTATGCCATTGCTGTGGAGCAGGTGCTTTATTGAGCTTTGGATGTAGTGAAAAATGGAATGCAATAAAAATGTGGCGGAAATGTGATTGTGTAATTTTTTCTTTCTAGCAGGTATTTCAAAAGCAGATGGAACAACAGCTGCGGGCTCATCAGCTAGAAATGATGCGAAGTGGCGCCAATGGTACAGTGACGCCAGGTTCAGCAGCAGCTGTTGTTCGTGATTCTCCATCTCGTGGTCATGCTTCTGCTGTGAACACGCATGGATATCCTCCCAGTATGATCCAGCCTCAGTTTCATAATTTTGGTATGGATCCAAGAACTGTGACTGCATTAATGCATAATCCACAGCTTGCGGCACAGTTTGGAATGGGTATCGATAGTCATACTGCTGTGATGATGAGTGCCTTGGAGCAGAGGAATAATTTGGAACAACGCATGCTCAGTCAGTCGTTTTGGATATTAAATTTTGCAGTGTAATTGTTCAATAAAATTGTACATTTTCGCATATGACTGCATATCAAATTCTCATCTAGATCTCTATGAGCATTTACGTTCTCCTGTTCAGTGATTTAGAAACTACTACGTTTCGCATTGTCATGTTAGCGAAGTTGGGGAAGTACATGTTTTTGCGTTAGCGAAAAATTGTTGAACATTGCATATGTAAGTGCTGCAGGTAGATTACTGTCAAATGAGTATGTAGTTCATATATGGTTCGAAAAGTTTGCAATTTTGCTGGGTTTCGTTGGTTTTTATCTCTCATAAGCTAATGCGTCGATTTGGATAACAAAAAATCAATAACCATCAAATGACAAAATTATTTTCGTCTTGATTTCTGAAATTGTTGTTATAAAGTCTTTGTCATGCAGTGACTGCTCTTGTTATCGACTTTTGATGTACTTATCTGTGTCATGATATCTCTTGTTATACTAATTTTCACGTGATGTTTTAGATTCATTATCAACTTTAAAAGGCGCATAGTCAAGCTGCTGTTAAATGGTAACTGATTACAGGTATGGCTGGCATGGAGATTTTAGCACCTGGTGGCATACCAGGATCTCAGACTCCACAATCTCACATCCATCCACACGCTGCTGCGATGATGCAGCATGCAGTGGCTACTCATTCCGGTACTGTTTGCTATTCCTATAATGTAAATATGAAAACGGTGTATGGAAATGTGAAGAGTGTTTGGCAGAAATTTTTTTAGTTTCGTGGGGCAATTGGAAAAAGGTGTTGGATTTCCCAAAATGAGCAAGTCTAGTGTTTTCATTTCATTTACATGGAATTATATTTATGTAACTAATTCATATCTGTGTATGCATACAAAAAATTTTTGTTATAGGAGAAACGATTCAATTTCAACAATTGCTTGCAATGTCGGCAGCGGCGCAGGCGCAGCGTCCCTTTTTAGAGCAAAATGCTCTATTACAAATGACCATGATGAATCCATTCAATAGTGAATTAGGATCACGAATAGTGAATCCTGGGTCATTGAATTCTGATATGATGCGACGTTTGCAGCAAGAAGGTGGATTCACCGCCACACAAAGGCCATAAAAAAGTGATTGTCTTATGTTGTATGTCGACAATGTTGTGATTATAAACAATGAAAATAAGTCTTTCATGTTGGTAATGCTGCAGCTGATTAAAACTGAAAGTAAAATACAGGTAGCCGGATCTTGCTAAAAAAAAGTAGTTTATGATTTTACAAGGAAGCTTTTTAGGCCTTTATTATTTCTAGTCCACATTGTTTATTATTAGTGGCTGTTTTGCCTATTTTAATTGGACTTTAAGTAAAAAATGTTTTTGAAATAAATTAGAATACAATGTGTACATGTTATATATATATATATATATATATATATATATA